ACTGGGGGTTAGGGGAGGTTGGGGGAATGTCAAGGGGGCGGGGGGGAGGAGACATATGTAATACGCTTTGTAATACTTTAAGCAATAAAACAATTTTAAAAAAAAAGAAATTCTTGGGAAATGCCTTTGGGACACAGGACTTTATAAACCACTGGAGGGAGCAAGGATTGGTTCAGTCCTTTTGAAGGGCAGCAGGGTAACATGGCTCCAGTGGTAAAGTATGAATACTCTTAAAATCAGTAATTTTACTTTTAAGAATGTAGCTAAGAAAATAAAGAGATAAGAATGCAAAAACATGAGCACAGGGATGTGTATAGAAGAAAGTATTGTTGGCATTAGCAAAAAAAAAGAAAAAAAAAAGGGAGACAATCTGTCTTCCACCTGCCTGAGAAATAGAGGCACTTGCATGAGAAAGCCTGTAGAAATCTGGTTTGAGGAAGGGGTTGATACCAGCTAAGAAAAATCTGCCTGGAGAATATCTGGAAACATCCCCTAACCAACATCTAAGGGGAGCCCTTCCTCCCAGCTCATGTTAGGCAAAGCATGGCTGTGCCTAATGCGGGCAGTCACCCAATGAGGGGAGGCCACTCGCTTCAGTCTGCAACCCAAACAGGGAAAATAAGTCATTCAGCCAGGAAGGTGGGGGCCCTGTCAGGCAGCAGCCCCTCCTGGTGCCTCTCAAGCGAATCAGGTGGCCAGTAGGAGAGCAGATATTTCATCTTGGCCTGAGACCCTCCAATAGGGACTTGGGATATGCCATCATCAGACAATATCATGCCCCCAGCCCCCAACATCACCATATATCTTTCATGGGATTCAAAAGGTCCTAATCAGGGACCAGTCAGACTAAATGACATATTGCAGGGAATAGGAAAAATATTAGAAAATATTTAATTTCAAATGACAGCAGGCTTTGAGAGGACATGACACGGATTCATTATAAAAAGCACGTAGTGAGTGCCTGCCCTGTGCTGCGGTGAACAAGGCAAGAAACGTCCCTGTCATCATGGTGTTTATCTTCCAGGGTGGGGAGAAAGATAGCACACAGGGAAACAGGTCATAAATGGTGGGTATGGATTGAGCCGCTGCCCTGAGTGGATGAACAGGCTGCTGAGGCAGTGACAGGGAGGGAAGGTCTCATGGGGGAGGGGATTGTGAGCTGAGACCTGGTGATTGAGACATGCAGCTCTGCAGGGACGGGCATGCCAGGCAGAGGGCACAAGCACCAGCACAGAATGTGGCTCATTGTGCAGCAGGGAGACGGGTGTGGGCTGAGGATCCCACAGGGCCTGCTTCAATCTATAACAACTAGGAATTATTGAAGGGTTTTAAACAGGAAAGGAATGTACATCTTATGTAGTTTATGTTTTTTGCTATGCTTTTTAAAATCTGTACTTTTTAACCATTTTTGAATTTTTATTTTTTAAATTACAGTTGACATTTAATATTATTTTATATTAGTTTCAGGTGTACAGCATAGTGGTTAGGCATTTATATAATTTACGAAGTGATCCCCCTAATAAGTCTAGTATCCACCTGGCACCATACAGTTATTACAGTATTTTTTTACTATATTCCCTATGTTGTACTGTTTGTATTTTTAATTTACTGGGTATTTAAAAAATTGAGATATAATTGATATACTGTATAATTCACCCTTTAAAAATATTCAAGTCAGCCCTGGCCAGCATTGCTTAGTAGTTAGGGCGTTGGCCTGCCCTCAGACCAAAGGGTCGCAGGTTCGATTCCCGGTCAAGGGCATGTACTTGGCTTGTGGGTGCGTGCAGGAGGCAACCAGTCAATGTGTCTCTCTCATATCAATGTTTCTTTTTCTCTTCCCTCTCCCCCTCCCTCCCTTTCTTCCATTCTTTCTGAAAAATCAATGGAAAAATATCCTCGGGTGAGGATTTAAAAAAAAGGATTCAAGTCAGTTTTTTTAATATTCACAAGGTTGTGCAGCCATCACCTCTATCTATTTCCAGCACATTGTCATCACCCTAACAAGAAACTCCATATCCGACCGCATTACTCCCCATTTCCCAATCCCCGCAGCCCCCTAGTAACCACTAATTCACCCTTTTGTCCCCACGAATTTGCTTATTATGGATATTTTATAGAAATGGGATCATACACTTCATGGCCTTTGTGACTGGTTTCTTCCACTTAACATGTTTTCAGGTTCATCTACATTGAAAGCATGTATCAGTACTTTGTTCCTTCTTATGACCAAATGACATTCCACTGTATGGATTTACCACGTCTTATTTATCCTTTCCCCAGCTGATGGGACATTTGGGTGGTTTCCACATTTTGGGCTACTACGAAGAATGCTGTGAGTATTATGGGCGAGTCTTTTAAGGGACACATACTTTCTTGAATAAAGCTCCCTGGATGCTGCGAGCCTTGGTTAATTTCCCGAGTTCAGGAAAAGTTGATACTGACAATTTTTGCCACAGTTTTCATTGCTTGTATGGAGAGGATTTTTAGAAATCCTTACTCTGCCATTTTGCCGATGTCACTCTTGATCACTTCATTTTAAACCCTGTATTAGTATTTGATGAATCAAAATGAATTGAATTTTAAAGGTAAGTGACACTGGGGTTTGTCTTTTAGATCATTGCTATGGTCAGCAAACATCACCTGGCTCTGTTTTTTAAACTTGTTTCCAATGGGCCAAATGTTGAATGAAATAAGGGACCATCTAAGCAAATTAGACCCTTACTCAGCCTCTGGATAGGGCTTCAGGGTTGGGAATAGCACAAGTGTGTGTTTTGGAAAGATGGCAGGGATACTGTAGGAAAAGCTGCTGGGGTGGGGATGACTGTGAGATGGCGAGAGCCCTTGGCTGGTGGGTAGAGGCAGGCTTGTGGCCCTGTCTGGCTGTGGGAACTTCTTCCAGGTCTCGAATGCCCAGCTTCATAATTCATTATGGCCAGGGGTCCCCAGCAGCCACCAGGGTACTCTGCCCTAGGAAGGCTGTGTGTCACTGAGTGATGGAGACACTTACATGTGATTCCGCACATCACAGCTTCTGCATGATTTTCTGTTGAGATAGATTGAGGATGGTGTCCTGCAGCAGAGGGAGGTATGAGCAGACCTCTCAGAGTCTGTTGCTTCTGGGGGATGGGGGACGAGCACCTGGGTATGCTCACTTCTCCTAGATTGGCAGAAAGTAGATGTTATTCACACACATATGTCAGCTGGAGGAGCTGAGGCCAGAGCAGGGCCAGGACCATCTCATCTCCCCACTCACCCGCTTCTAAGTCCTCGAAAGAGCTATCTGTGTTCCATTTTCTAACTGGCTTGTGCTGTAGACGGCCTCATTGCAGGGTGGAGTTTATCCAGGATCCATATTAAGTTTTACCAATTGCAGAATTCTAGCTCAACTAGAATGTAGAATTCTAGCTCAATTAGAGGTAAATCAGAGAAGAGCTCAGGTTGACTGAGATGGCTGGGAAATATGAGGGGCCACCCTTAGGGGCTAAGAGGATCTCAGGCTGTACTTAAAGGGAAACAGTGTCTAGGAGGGAGGTGAGTGTTCTCTGCACTCGGGGCTGCACAGGCACTCCTGGGATTGTGTGTCTTGGAGTATGTCTGGGGTGGGGAGGGCCACCTGAGAATTGTATTGTGTTAGAATAAGTGAAGGATTTGGGGCTATTAAGCTGAAGGACAGACTCAAGGGACCTGGGCATTGTTTGAAGATGTCTAATGGGCTGTTCTGGGATGGGAAAAGCAGATCTGTGAGGCTCCCGAGGGCAGAGTTGGGCCCAATGGGGGAAGCTTCAGGGAGGTAGCCTTAGCCAGCATTGGAAAGGCCTCTATATCAGGCTGTGTCTACGCAGGGGCAGGGGCGCTTGGGCGCAGGGCGCTTGGGCCCATGTGTAGGTAGTGAGTCCCCAGGCAGTCCTAAGGGGCCAGGTCAGTAGAATTCTAGAAAGTGTTTTGCACAACAGCCAAAATGATGCTCTCTCAAACATGCTGGAACTGGCCGGGTCACTGTGTCTTCACTTCTATCCCTCCTTCATTCCACATCTCTGAAGGGAAGGCCCTGTCCCCCATTTGCATAAATCAGAAGCCAGGCACTCTCCTAAATGCCTCCCTTTCCCCCCTCATGCCAATCAGTAAGTCAGTCTCCTGGTCTTGTCCAAGACAGCCTCAAGATATCTCTCACATCTGCCCCTTTTCTCCAAGCCATCGCTGCTGTCTTAACTCAGATCTTCATCATTTCTTGTCCTGGCCTTTGTTACAGCTTCTGGTCTGTCCAGGCCATTTTAACTGATCATCCTTAAATGCAGACAGATCATGTTGTCACCTTTTTGAGATATTTGCCCTCCCTCCACAGCCTCAGGAGAAAGCATAGACATCTTGACATGATGTTTAACCCGTCTCTCTGGCTCACTGTTCTCCCAGGTACTTCCTGCTCCAGCCACATGCCACTGCCAGCCTAGCCTTTGTTTATGTTGATCTTTTTGTCTAATGTTCTTTCCTGGTTGTTGTTTTTTATAAGAGCAGCTTTAGGTTTACAGAAAAAATTGATTAGAAAATACAGAGTTCCCACATACCCCCCCCCCCCCCAGTTTCCCTTATTATTTATATTTTGTATTAGTGTGTGGTATGTTTGTTACAACTGATAAATGAATATTAATACATTATCATTAAATCCATAGTTTACAGTATAGTTCACTCTTTGTGTTATACATTTTATGGGTTTTGACAAATGCATAATGACATGTATCTATAATTACAGTATCATACAGAAGGATTTCACTGCCCTAAAAAGCTCCCATACTCCTTCCAATATATCCCTTCCTTTAACCCAGGGGTGGGCAAACTTTTTGACTCGAGGGCCACAATGGGTTCTTAAACTGGACCGGAGGGCCGGAACAAACACATGGATGGAGTGTTTGTGTGAACTAATATAAATTCAAAGTAAACATCATTACATAAAAGGGTACGGTCTTTTTTTTTTTTTTTAGTTTTATTCATTTCAAACGGGCCGGATCCGGCCCGCGGGCCGTAGTTTGCCCACGGCTGCTTTAACCCCTCACAACCACTTTTCCTGGCTTTTTATATGTGAAAATCTACTCATCCTTTAGGGCAGTGGTTCTCAACCTTCCTAATACTGTGACCCTTTAATACAGTTCCTCATGTTGTGGTGACCCCCAATTTCATTGTTACAAATTGAACATAAAGCATAGTGATTAATCACAAAAACAATGTGTAATTATATATGTGTTTTCCGATGGTCTTAGGCGACCCCTGTGAAAGGGTCGTTCGACCCCCAAAGGTGTCGCGACCCACAGGTTGAGAACTGCTGCTTTGGGCCGTCTACAGAAAAAGGTACACTCTAGCTGACCCTCTGGTCATAGCCTCTGGAGCAAACTTGGTAATTTCAGTGAGGATGACCTGGAGTGTGTGTGTGTGTGTGTGTGTGTGTGTGTGTGTGTGTGTGCACCTGCTAGTGCAGGATATTCCCCCTCCTCTAACCCCCTCCCCCCCCACTCACACATCTAATTCACTCGTAAGAGGGAAATGGGCTCCTTCCATCTCAGCCTGGAGAGGGCTGGAGAGGCCCCGACTTCCAGTTGGACTCTGCTGGGGATGGGCCAGGCCTGAGTGCTCACATGTGTGCACTTGAGCTCCAGTGCCTCCTCATCTTCAGAGATCACAACACCAGATGCATAGTTCTCCTCTCCACTAATGCAATTTATATGTCTGAGCATGAACAGAGGATTTGTGAGCCTTCGAGGCTGGGGCTTCGGAAATTACCTCACAGGCTGGGGCTGCTGGATGGAGATCTGGGGTTTTAGGAGACTTTGAGGGAATTATTTTCAAAGGTCCTGGCAGGAGGAAGAGGCATCTCCACCCAGATCCTCCCCCAGGCCCTTCCTCTGGTTCCTTTTAAAACACACCCTGTAAGACTTTCTGGTTTGACAATGAACTTGAAGGGAGCTACACAGCGTGGCAGAACAAAGGTTCATTGACCAGATCAGCTGAACTGGGAGGTGAAGGGGAAGGACAGAAGGTCAGGCTTGGATGCCTGTCCAGAATCGGGCACTTACTAGCTGGGAGTGTTCAGTGTTCAAAAGATTTTTAAATCTGAGCCTCAGTTCCCCCCTGATGAAGCGGAGAAGGATAAATAATGTACACCAGGAGGTAGTGGCTCATACGGAAAAGGGCACAGGCTTTTGTGTCCAAAAGACCTTTGTGGGCTCAGTCAAGCTACTTAACCTCTCTGAGGCTCCTTTCTGTCATTTGTAAATTTTGAAATAATCACAGCTATCCTGCAGGATTGTTTTTGAGGGATTAAATGAGATAATGTGTAGAAAATGCCCATAGTCATGCCTGGCACTCAGTAAGGGCTCAATGGTCTTTGGTTCCTTTCTCTCCTTCTTAGTATGTGCCAGTCACTCTCTTCCTGCCCCATTGCAGGGCCTCAGCTTCTCACTTACATCTCCATCCAACCCCCATCCCCTCTCTTGACTGTCAGTCAAGAGTCTGTGATTTTCTCCCTATTTGCAGGGACCTACTTGCCTTCCACACCTGCCTGGAAAAGGCTCTTTTTGAACCATTTGACCATGTCACTTTCCTGTTTAAAAAACCTCCTATGACTTCCCTTTGCCTACAAGATAAAACCCAAACTCCTTATCGCCTTCCACCTTTCCGGTCGTACTGTCTCTTGCTCTCAGCAGCTGATAGGCTGCAATATCAGATCTGATGACTGCGGCTCCCGGTTTTGTTGTCCCATTTCTGGGTATCATTATTGATCTTTCTCCCTCCTAAGATTTTAATAACAAATTTTGAAAATGATGGTTTCTTCGTCTATTTTAAGAAATACTTCTCTGGAAAAACAAATTAACAATTATTTTTCTTCATGCCTTCAGAGCCACCTGAGTTTGTCCACAGATTTGTCCCCTGTTTTCCTACGAGCCAGCTGTAGCTGTGGACGGATCAGAACATTCTGTTTCCTTGTAATTTCCTTGTGCGGGGTTGCAGGCCTGGAAAATGATAGATGCCTAAAATTGATCAGGGTAATCGATGCTACGTGAAGTAATTACACATGATGAATGTGTCATCTGCCAGATGTGAGTGTTGGCAATGGCTCGCTTGTTTATAAAACCCCTGAGATCCCATTTGTAACAGTGACTAATGTTTGCACACGGGGCTGTTTGCAGTGTTTCAGA